AAAAAAAAAAAAAAAAAAAAAAAAAAAACCAGATCTCAGAAAATACATAAAGTTAACAGGATGTATGATTTAACAGACAGATTTGATTATGTTATTTTGCAAAAAACTTCTGAAGATAGTAAATTCATAAGTCAAGGAAAAAACATAAGTTATCAAAATAATCATCTAGACCCTTAAAAGCTGTTACTAGCCAGGCTCGGTGGCTCAGCCTATAATCTCAGTGCTTTGGGAGGCTGAGGTGAGTGGATTGCCTGAACCCGCGGGTTCAAGACCTGCCTGGGCAACTTGGTGAGACCTCATCTCTACAATAAATCAAAAATTAGCCGGGCGTAGTAGTGCGTGCCTGTGGTTCTAGCTACTTGGAAGGCTGAGGCGGAAGGATCACCGGAGTCCAGCAGGTCGAGGCTGCAGTGGCCAGGAGTGGTCACTGCACTCCAGTCTGGGAGACAGAGTGAGACTCCAACTAAAAAAAAATAAAAAATAAAAATAAAAAAAAAGTTGTTACCACCACTGAATTGTGAAAATGACTAAGACATGGAAACTAGACTATAAAAATCAATACCTTCAACTAACATAGCGTCATATGAAAAAATTCCATATCCTCTTTTCTGGAAACAGCTACATGTAGTAAATAGGAATGCTTCTGCAACAAGTACCCAGTTGCCAGACCATAGGAATTCAGTTTACACTTGTGTTCCATCCTCTATCACTCTCCAACCCCCAAGAGTTCTACTACCCTGGAACAAGTTCCAAGAGAATTCTTAGAATAGAAACAGACAGACAAGAGCAAGAGATTCTAAAAATAATCCAGGAGAAATTCAAACATACATCTCAGGTTCTTGAGTTTCAGGAAGCACCAGGTTGTTTCAATCTATCCTACCAAGTTAAGAAACACTCTCTCTCCTCAAAGTAAATTAAAGATGTGTCAATTTTAACACAGGTAAGAACTGCTACTACATTTTTAACATCTTTAAAAACAAAAGTCAAAGCCGGGCTTGTGGCTCACACCTATAATCCTAGCACTTTTACAGGCTGAGGTGAGAGGACTGCCTGAGCCCACGGGATCGAGACCAGCCTTGGCAACTTGGCAAAATCTCATCTCTACAATAAATCAAAAAATTAGCCAGGCATGGTGGTGTGTGCCTACAGTTTCAGCTACTTGGAAGGCTGAGGTGGCTGTGAGTGTGCCACTGCACGCCAGTCTGGGCGACAGAGTAAGACTCGAACTCAGAAAGAAAAGTAAAGTCAGCAATATGCCATGTAAAGTTTCCTAGAGTAAAGTGAAAAAGTAGTCTAAATTAATTGTAATATAAAGAAAGTAAACCTGCAGAACAAACAACTTGATTAAAGTTACGGTGACTTTCTCTGTAAAAGAAATGTTTTTAGAAAAAGTTAACTGCTATTTTGTCAAGTACT